ATAGACAGAAGGGTAGATGGTTGGTTAGATATGTGAGTGAATGGATAGAGATAAGAATATATAATGTAGCTGGGTGGTGGTGGTGCACGCCTTTAATCCCAGCACTTGGGAGGCAGAGGCAGGTGAATCTCTGTGAGTTCGAGGCCAGCCTAGGCTACCGAGTGAGTTCCAGGAAAGGCACAAGGCTACAGAGAGAAACTCTGTCTCGAAAAATCAAAAATAAATAAATAAATAAAATGTTTAAGTGCTCATGAATGGCATGAAATTCTATGAATCATTGCAACTAATATTTTTATGTTAAGATGCTGCTAAGATAAATTTGGGACATGTATCATTGGTTTTTATTTTCAAGAGATCAAATATTTGCTACACATAACTGAATGCAAGTTTATAAGGAGTATTAATAGTAATCTTAAAGTCTAAAAGCCCTCATTAGTTATCCTTTGTAGTGCACAACGGGTCTTCCTCTGGAAAATTTTATATCAGGTTTCACCACGGTCTTCTCTTATAAAAATCAAGCATTTAACAACACCTCTCCACATTTTTATAGGAAAACAGTCAGTTTTAGAATAGCTATGTTTTTCAGTTTTCCACAGTTGGTACAATATCTATGTAATAGCTTTCTAGCACACTCATTTCATCTCTTTACCTCTCTAGCTAGAGGAGTATTGGAGTTTTAGACAAAATAAAAATAACAGATTTCAGCACCAAGTAGTCCTAATACTGTATATAAGCCTAATACTGTTTATAAGGAACCTATCTACTGTGTGGAAATACACACACATTGGTTCTGCTATTCAGAAAGAGTCTCAACACTCCCCACAAACCACTGGTACTTACCACTTTTATGATAGTTGTTCATTTAATGAACATTTCAGTTTTCCACTGTAAGGCAGCATTTGATATTTCATCCCTGCCATGTTTTCTCTAAGAGTTGATTACTCAGCACATGATTCATGAAGGGGTAAAGACATAGATCTAGTCTATAGAACCCTTAAGTCCAGGAAAGAAGCCTGGGAAATTTAAATAATTTCTGTGTATCTTCCAAGTATTAGGGGAAAAAAGTCACAGGAAAAAAATCTGTACTATACACTTCTAGCCCAGAAGCCAATAGAAAAAGAAACTTGTTTCTACATCCTTTAAATTTTTAAACTAAATGCAAACTATTACTTAAATGTAGCTAGGATTCTAATGAATATGTATTTAAAGATTCTATCTTGATTGAAATATTAGCTAGCTTAAGCTTCCCATCTTATTTGTTCTTATTCAGTTCTATTTCTATTGGATTCTGGTTGTCTCAGTAGAGGATGGAGGCAATATTTGTAGAAATTTCAGAACTTTGAAGGAAGTTCATAAAAATAATCTAGTGCTTTATATTTCTTTTCACAACCCTCCAAACATCATTAATGATTTGAAAGTGTTCTGTTAGCAGAACAGTAATATAAAGACCCACTCATCCTCCTGTGCAGCCCGCACAAACAATGAATGCAAGTTTCCTGATTAAACAATCACGCTCCCGACTTCCTGCTCTATTGGAAGGAAGATGCCAAACGTAGGAGGCAGCCATGAATTCAGGCCACTGAAGCAGTCTCTTTCAATGTGCTGCTAGTCATATTTCAAAGAACATTTTGTAATCATCATTGACAGCTGCCTTCCAGAAGGGAAACAATGAAACATTTAAAAACACTTGCCTTTGGAAGCAAACTCCAACAGCTTAACACTAGTGAAGAGGTTCATGGTCCTTGGCTGTCTACCACCATGTGAACAGAGGGGAAGCTACCACTCTGCTCAGGACCAAATATTTTATAAACTCCTTTACAAAACCTAGGGCTTGTTTCTATTAACATGGGCAGGACCATATGTTTAATCTGTCCTCCTGGCAGCTATTAAATGATTGATAATTACTTCTTTGCTCAAGATGAATGCTTTTATCTATAATTTTCCTTTATTTGAATGCCTAGAAGTCATTGGTGTTCAGTTTTTATTAAACTTCATGTTACATTTGATGAAGATGCTCACTCCATTTAAAACTCTCTCTTCTTAGCCGGGCGGTGGTGGCGCACGCCTTTAATCCCAGCACTCGGGAGGCAGAGGCAGGCGGATCTCTGTGAGTTCGAGGCCAGCCTGGGCTACCA